TTTACTAAAAACCAGCCATATTTTCTCTCCCAGGTTGAAATCTAACAACTCTTTTCAGTTAAGAACTTTAATTCCCTTTTTTTTTTTTTTTTTGGTCTTTCTGAGACAGGGTCTCACTGTAGCCCCAGCTGTCCTGGAACTCACTATGTAGACCAGGCTGTCCTCGAACTCACAAAGAAACACCAGCCTCTGCCTCCCAAGTGCTGGGATTAAAGGTGTGCGCCACCATGCCCGGCAAGAACTTTAATTCTTTCAATTACTTTAGAAAGATCCTCATACTCCCTTTTTATGCCCCTAAGTCCATGAAGGAGATTAATGATTCTTAAATCATGACATCTCAAAGTCAGGACCCCATCTATTTGAAACCTTATCTACAATAAAGATCTTGAACCTCTGTCCACTTCCCTCAGTCCAGGCAACAGGCTTGACCATGTATCTCAATTTACTAATTCTTGACCAGCTTTTCTATTCTATCTTTTTGATGCTGGGGATGGAAACAAGGTCTTAAACTTGCATCCCTAACATCCTTAACTGCTTTTTATAATTCTGTCTTCTAGCATCTTTTTAAAGATATTTTTCTTTGAGACTAGGTCTTACTAAGTTGCCTGGGATGGTCTCAAACTCTTAGGCTCAAATGATCCTCTTACCTCAGCCTCCTGAGTAACTGGGACCTCTGCCACATGCCACCATTCCTGGCCCTTTGTTGTCTCCTCTGACTCTCCCCGCCCCACCCCCCCCTCCCCCTTCCCTGACCCCAGACAGAGTATCAAGTATCCTATGCTGGCTACATAGCCAAGGATGAACTTCTGATCCTCCTGCCTCTATCTTCTGAGTGCTGGGATTTCAGGCATTCACCACCACACATAGTTTACCTGTCATCTCTTAACAATCATAAAATCTAGCTCTTTTCCATGTCATCACTTGGCATTTGTCCATACTTTAGCAGAAGATTATATTTTGAGTGAGTCAAAGACCACAGCTCTTCCTGATAGATCAATTTTCTTTGTTTTGGTTTTCATGAGACAACTGGTTATTTTCATCTGAGGGGTTGAGTGTGGAGAAGGAAGTAAAAGCATGCTGGTATAAAACGTAAGGTGCTGCCTTTTGTCTTTTCCCTTCTTAGTGCTTTCATTACTAAAACAAACAATCCTTAAAAGGGATGGGCAGCTGGGGACCAGTGGAACAGACAGTGTATGCAGTAGCTCCTTGCTATGGACTGTCTTCAGTTACAGAACATGACCCTGCTCATCTGGCAGCAACATCTGGCTTTGCTTTTCTGTAACAGCTGTTCTAGGAGAAAAGGATCAGGAGTCCCGGACTCCAAAAAGATGATAGACTTCTCTAGAACAGCTTCAGCTTTGTCTCTAATTTCTTAAAACCTGGGCCAAATGAAATGAACAGCAGGTCAGTTACTTTAAGACTAGTACAGGACAATTTGTATTTCTTTGTTATAATAAGGCTAACTTTCCCCCCTCTATCTTCTCTCTCTCTCTCTCCTTTCCTCTCACACTATTCTCCACCCCTGCCCCATGAATGAGAGTCAGGATTTAGACAGAGTAAAGCCCATTCTGTACATGTCACTGACAACTTTGCCTTCCCCAACACAGAATGAAGTGTTGATATTAGCAATGAGGAATAACCAACTGCCATAATTCCTTCTTCCCCCCAAAACTTACTGTCTGTTCCCTAAGTTTATCATATAGAAACTCCAGGCGCTTGCTGGCATCATCTAGCTTCCTCTTGGTTTGCTGCAGGAGAGGAAAAATAGATGGTATATTTGAATATTGACTTTCCAAAGAAGCTGCCCGGCCCCATTTCACTATAATCATTCCACTCAACATGCCAAAGTCTTCACTTTATCAAAGAAATGAAGGCAACTAAGACCATAAACTGGTCTAAACTATTAGAGCAGACATTAGTAATCTACTGAAAGTGGGCAGAACAAAATGGGGTATTAACTGGACTCCATGTGGACTGCAAACTCAGCTGACAATGAGTGTGTATATACAACTGTGCCTTGTTCAAAGACCTGGCAGCAGCAATGGGTCAGTGCCACAGAAAAGAAGATACAAGTTACTGGAGATATATTATACTAGAAGGAAACACATAGGGAGAACTATGGAATTGTGTTTGCCTTTCAAAACTACCTCTTACATACTTAATGACATTTGGTAAGCTTAATCCTGTCTCTTTATAGGCTTTGAAGTACCAAGAAAGAAAAAAAGAAATTATCTTCTAGTAACTTAAGATCACTAAGAGTGGGGTTGGTGGTAGAGCTCAGTGGCAGAGCACTCATCTAGCATGTATCACACCCTGGGTTTGAGCCCCAAAGCCCCCCTCCCCAAATTACTAGGAGGTAGTAAGGTAGGTCCTTAAATTAAGGAGTCACGCCTCCTAGCCTCGTACTCAGTATACAGAGAGAAACTAACAAAGGTTTTAAAAATACTAGTAATAAATGATCTATATACATATAAGCCAGCCTTAGGAGGGAAAAAAAATCACATCATTTTATTGAATATCTACCACGTGTTATAGTGGAAGCAAAGTCTTATGTATGGTATATTCTAATAAGTGGGAAAAAGTACCAAATAAATGGTATATTCTGTGCTAGATGGTCCAAAGTTAGCAGACAAAGGAATTGGTAGTGTTGGGGTAGCAGAGAAAGGCCTGACATACTACATGTGAACAAAGGCCTGAGGGAGTGAGGGAGTGGGCCGTGCAGGTGTGTGCAGGATGAGCTCTAAGCAGGAGCTGCAGCAAGTACAGAGTCCGTTGTGCAGAAGTACTCTGGAAGCATTGGAGGCAGGAATGCACAGTCGATGTGTCTTAGAAGAGGAAGAGATGAATTCATTAAGGACAATATTACATACTTGACTGTGTTGAAAAGTTACTTTACATAACGAAAGTGAAAATAGGAATGAATCCACACTATAAAAACTACTCAACTGCGAACTGAAAGGGATCTTTGTAGGAAGAAACCCTATGGTCCCTGCTCAAAACTAATCACATTTAGCTACAGACAAGGGCAGCAGGGCAGGACAAGAGAACTACTTATAGGAGCAGTTTGTCTCTTATGGTTCTCTCATGCCCAGTGCTCCTGGGTACAAGGAAGGTGATGTGAAGACCCAGAGGGGTGAAACTCAACAAAAGTTAATGTGTTGAACCATATAATACATCCTCTTCAACCTCTCTATATCCATTCCCACCTAAAGAAGTACTAGAATTGGAGCTGGAGAGAGGGCTCAGCACTTCAAAGTACATGCTACTTTTATAGAGGACCTGGGCTCAGTTCCCAGCACCTACACTGAGGCTCACAACTGCCTATAACTTCAGTTCTAGGGAATACAATGCCCTCATCTTCACTCTGGGAGTCCCTATGAACACGCGTGAGCTGTAAACTTATGCAGGCATACACACAGACACATAAAAACAACAAATAAATACTTTTTTATTGTTCTTTTTAAGACAGGGTCTCCCTGTAGCCCCTGGCCTGGAACTCACTATGTAGACCAGGCTGGCCTTGAACTCACAGAGATCCTCCTACCTCTGCTTCCTGAGTGCTGGGATTAAAGGTATGTGAGGCTATCCTGGTCTACATAGTGAGTTCCAGGACAGCTGGGGCTACAGGGAGACCCCTTTAAAAAAAAAAAAAAAAAAAAAAAAAGTATTGGAATTCTGCCAAAGTCTTATTGGGGTGCCTCCATTTTTGGCCTGTCTACTTAGGTATGCACACACAGTATATATTTGATTATCAGTTTCATTTGCACTCCAGTCTCTACTTGGTCTGTTCTATTCCCAGAATACAAGTGTGAAGATCTCTGTTAATGCTCTGGTCTACTGACATTTTCAGAATTACTTTCCACAAGGATAGCAGAAGGCTTACATATTAATACTCCATGTCTGATGAAACAAAAAATTCCAAAGCTAATTTTTTTTTTTCAATTAGACAAGTAGCCAATGGCTTACAGATGTATCCAATGTTTGTTTGTTTGTTTTGGTTTTTTTTGGTAGAAGATGAATTTCATTTAAAACAAGACTGGCTTTGTAAAATTTTTGTGTTGACAAATCAATGGCACTCTCCAAGTAAACCAACAAAGTGAGTCACTTTAACTGTGGCTATAAAATGAGGCATCTAAAGAACTCCTATTGGAGCATCCTTGCCTGCCACTACTGCATCTTATATCTGTACTGGCAGATGGGAGGCAGTACAGCTGGGAGGCTGAGAGGAACCTGACGTCAGACCTTCTGAGTTGAAACACTGGCTTCGCCCTTAGGTGCTATTGACTGGTTCTTTACCTTAATTTTTTCATCTGCAAAACAAAAATGACAAATCTATCTATCACTGGGTTATTATTATCCTCCCCTTATGGGCCAATCTTTAATGCACAAACATAAAAAAAATGACAAACCAGAAAACAGTTCTGAGGTTAAATGTTTATATAAAACACAAATATGTTTATTTCTATATGTAAACTAAATGCTAGCTTTACTAGTTTAAGAAATGTAATTTGTGCCGGATGTAGCAGCACACATCCTGCACTCAGGAGGCAGAAGCAGGTGGAACTTTGTGAGTTCAAAGCCAGCCTGGTCTATATAGTGAGTTCCAGGCCAGCTGGGGCTACAGGAAGACCCTGTCTCTAAATAAATAAATGAATAAATAAAATGAAATATAACTTGTAGGACCTAAAACAGTAATTATAGAAGAGGTCCACAAAAGATTATTTTAATTAAGCAAAATATGAGGAAAAATACATACAGGGTCTGTGGCTGAAGAGAGGCAGCGCTGGATAAGATCCTCAAATGTGGTTTTTAGAATCAGGTGCTCGTCTGGAATAGGTTTCTTGGTAATTTTTTCTGTTGGCAAAGACTGTACATGCTGAAAAAAAATTGTTATAAATGATTAGAAAGGATCAAAAGTTCCTTTATACACAAAGTCCTGACTCTATGCAATGCAACCAATTACCTTATAGACAGGTCTATTCAAAATCAAATGAAAATTTAATGTGTGAATCACCTAGGTACCAGCTATGTACTGGCTCCCCAATGATCTCAGTTCCAAGGCTTATGGACCAATGAGAAAAATACAAAGTTTAAAAATCTTATAAAAGTATGTAAAATAGTAACTGCATTAACACTTAGTGGAACTAAAAGACATTACAGTTCAAATCTGATAAAGGGAGGGAAAGGCACATCAAGAAACTGTACTGGAAGGATAAACGGGGGCTAACCAATTAAGTAGGGAAAGAAAACCATTCCAGACTGAGGAAATAGTAGTCTACAGGGAGCTCGGCTGGAGAGACAAGGGCTAAAGGGAGCTAGCAGAGCTGAGCAGGGAGCAGGGAGCATGAGTGCATGCCTTCCAGGTGACGTTCTATATTTTGTGTTTATCCTAATAATGATGGGAAGCTGAAATGTTTTACCAAGGAGGAGATAAACCAAATTAGACAATGCAACTTATAGTATTTAAAAATTCCTTAGACATACTGATCTCTTAACAATATACAATCATTACAAATTTGATGTGAGTCAAAGACAAAAGCAGACAACATAACCAGTCTTTCACTTAGATAGGGATTTGTTTCATTTCCTTATATTGAATACTGATCCAAGCTCTTTACATTTTCATGAACAGACCAAAATACCTTTGTCCATCTAAGTTTCATTTGGAAATATGATAGTTTTTTCAACATCTGGGAATCTGTCAACTAACCTTTTCTGTGAAAAGCAAGTAAAAATGTATAAGGCTATTTTAGTAGTTTTTAAACATATATATTAAATAATGTTATATTTTAGTTAACATTTTTAAAAGGAAAATCTATGAAAACAGTTTTTGCTTAGCAACTTCAGATGCAGAAATGATTCAGCCAATCTTAAATTGTGGCTACTGACTAATCAAGTGAAATACTGTAATTACCAAGATACTGTAAATACACACTTCCAAAATGTATAATTCTTGTCTAGAAAGTTTATAGATAGCCAAGTAATTGAAAAATAATACACATGCATGATCAATCTTTTAAATTAGGGCTAACATTTTTTGTTTTGGTGTACTAAACTGAAACTAAATGTATATACTCATTAACAATGGTAGAATCATGCAAGTTAACACATCAAAGAAACATACTGAAACCAAGCCATCTTCCCCTTCTCCTTCCACACATTTACTGTTACCTGGATGGTATTTCCAATAGGAGCTCCAGGGGCCCCTTCAATATTAGGCTTTGAGAAAGATGGTGGTATGCCTGTTTGACCAAGAGGTTGCTGTGTGCCATGGAAGGGTTGGCCACCTGCAAGGTGTGGCTGTGGGAAGGAAGCCTGGTTTGACAGTGGCACTGGTGCTGAAGGTTGTTGCTGTAGCATCTGTGACTGGGGATCACCCAGAGGGTTCATGATTGGTGATGTGATGGGAACAGGAGGCAAGAAGTTTTCAGGCATCTTTTAAAAGATTAAAAAAAAAAAAAATCAAGAGTAATAAAAAGCAAAACAACATTTCCTTATATGTAAGGGCCTTGGAGCATCCCTGTAGCCCCAGCTGGCCTGGAACTCCACACGTTTCAGGCTCGTCTTGATTTCTTGATATCTGCCTGCCTCTACCTCGCAGTACTGGGATCAAATAGAATACTTTTTTCGAATGAAGTTTTATGCTGAATTCCAGAGTAAAATATCAAAGCAGACCTACCCTGGCTAATATGGGTAGGAAGCTGTGCTGGATAGCTTTAGTGTCAACTTGACACACCTGGGTTGAGGGAGCCTCAATTGGGGAATTGCCTCTATTGGACTGGCCTATGGCCATGTCTAAGGGGCATCTTCTTGATGAGTGATGTGGGAGGGCCCAGCCCACTGTGGGTAGTGCCACCCCTGGGCAGGTGGGCTGTGTTGTATAAAAAGCAGGCTGAACAGGGGCCAGGGGAGCAAGCCAGTAAGCAGTGTTCCTCCACGGCCTGTGCTCCAGCTCCTGCCTCCAGGTTCCTGCCCTGAGTTTCTACCTTGGGCTCCCTGATGAACTGTGACCTGGGAGATGTAAGACAAATAAACCCTTTCCTCCCCAAGTTGGTATTGGTCAGAGTATTTTGTCACAGCAATGAAGAAACAAACTAAGACAGAAGCATACTTGGGTTCTACCTCCCTCTCCTCCTATGTCTACTGCCAATAAAAGGGATCCAAAGCCATGTCATCTTTAAGAGGATGTCAAGTCTAAAGCACTATACCTAGCAGTACAGAAACCAAATGTGCCCTGTGTATATGTGTGTGTGTGTATATGTATATGTATACACCCATGTATTTAGTAACATCAGTATATAATTCCATTTTCCTGGATCACTACATAGCTCATCTAAAAACTTCAGATTAAGTTTCCAATTATTATTACCATATAGCTGGAGTTTCACTGCTCATTTAGTGTTTCCCAATTTTATGTTATAGTTTTTTATTACTATATTTTGAGGAAGGGAGTCATGAAGAATAAAAAAAAAATAGCTTGAGAGAAAGGCAGGAAAAATATTTTGTGTTCAAATAATCTTTGACAATTATTGACATATAAACAATGCTAAGGTACAAGGCTATTTCTTCATTTAATATTATTTGTGACAGACCAAAAAAATCTAAATTAGAATTAATTGATTACTGTTGATTGCGAAATATAGTGATGATTATTTCTGAGATCCATAAAGACCAAAGTAACTCCTAAAACAATCACTACCAAAGTCTGTTTCCTACTTTTTGGAAGAGGCCTGCAGGGAATTTACATCTTGCCTCTCAAAAGGGCTTGAATTTATACCACTATCATCAGAACAAAGCTTTTTACTGGGATAATGGGGAGGTTGGTGGAGTCGGGGTTTCACTATGTAGCCAAGGCTGTCCTCAACTGTTCCAAGTGGCTGAGGCCTGGGTCAGGGTCTGAGGTGCTTGGTCTCTCATTCAAAGGACTGCAATGAGGGCCCACATCGACTTGCAAAAGCAGTATAGTAACTTTACTCAAGGCAAAGTAATAGTAAAAACCAGAAATACACTGTCAAGACTGACAGCCAGCCACATGAATGAAGATACTCAAGAGTTCTAGGTTACTGCCTGGAGCGCCTTCTTATGGGGTCTAAAGAAAGGAGGGGCTAGCTAATAAGGGATATAGTTTGTGTAGTTATTTTGACTGAAAGATATAACTATTTCTCTACTATGCATGTCCCTCTCATAATGCATCTGATTTTAATCACATGTACACCCAATTATGCAGAGATACAAGATGGCAAATAGGGGATTCTTCCTAAAAGTTCACTTGGGGACGCCAATATGCACCCAATACCAGTTCAGCTCAGACTAGCCACTCTAGTGCTCAGCCATAAAGCAGAGTATCATAGACTAGAATCTAAGCTTGATGATCATTAAGGGGAGAAGAAACTTACTCCATTGTTCAGAGTGGGGTGAGTATGCAGCTCCACATAGGTGGAGGTCCTAGGTTGCTAACAAGTTGCTAGCTGCATTGTTTGGAGAGGGAAGGTGTGTGTATAGTACACGCAGGTAAGGGTCTCGGGCTGTGAACTACATTGTTAGAAGAGGGATACAGAGATAGGATGAACTTGCACTGAACAATATCAGGGGACACTAACTTGACTAGATAGGCCTTAACATAACATGACAGAATACATGAAATGCAGTGGAGGCGCTATAGGAGGGTGTGGATAAGAAGGGAGGTATAAAGACGATGGTGGAGGAGGAGGAGAAGGTGGAGGAGGAAGAGGAGGGGGGAAATACATCCCAAATCAAATGAAGTACCAGGTCCCTATGCTTGCCTGCCTCAGCCTCCGAGTTCCAGGCACTGGGGTTACAGGTGTGTACCACGCCACAACCCACAGCACAGATCAACATTTTAACATCTTCTACTTTCCTTCCTTTTCATCACAGATTAGAAGATACCTGTTAATACATTTTAAATGTATTAACCTGAAAGCTTTGCCTTTGAAAAGGTCAGTTAAATATAATGTGCTCCAAGTGGCTACACATGATTAATAACAACAAAGATATCCAATGGATAGACATCTTTTCCTCATACCTTGTTCTTTTTGGGTACTCTGTTCAAAGCTGGAGGGTCATTCCAACCATTCTGAGGACCTAGAACAGATAACAGAAAACATTTTCCTTTAAAACTCTAAAGGGAAGAAAAGGAATCACCTAATACTTTGTAGTTCTGCCTTCACCTTGAGATAACTGCCTCACAGCTTTTATCAAGTTGCAGGGTTCACTGGATTCTCAAACTCATGCCTCTAATAGTCATGACAGTTTTCCCATGGTAGGCAGCATATCTTGACATTATTCGCTATTTAAAGTAAATAAGCTGTCCTAAATTTAAGGATGGTGAAGTCTTTATGTCTATACTGTTAGATACCCTTCAAAATCACTTTACTCTTCTCTACTAATAAAGGAAACATAAATCAGCTGAGTGTGCTTTTAAAAACTCTTCTGACATACTCATCATACAAAGAGGAATAAAAGTCTTCTTTTTGCCAAGAGAGCAATTCACAACATGCAAATCATTCACGAATTATAAATGTAGTACTATTTTTAAAAAACAAAAAAGCAAAAACCCACGAGTCTAGGCTGGGAAGTAGCTGAGTGATAGTGTTTGCCTAGCGTGCACAAGGCCCAGGGTTCCATCCCTGGTACCATAAATCAAGCAAAAAACAGAGTCCCCCTCCCCCCAAGACTGTAGCACCAGCAATTCTCATTTGTCTTGTGAACTACTTTATAAAATAGAAAAAAGGGAGCTGGAGAGATGGCTCAGTGATTAGGAGCACAGGCTGCTCTTGCAGAGGACTCGAGTTTCCAGCACCCACATGGCAGCTAGCAACTGTACCTCCAGTTCCAGGGGATCCGACACCCTCTTCTGACCTTCTGGAGCATTGCACAACAGAAGGGCACTTACATACATGTAGGCAATGCACTCACACATTTTTAAAAAGTAGGAAGGAGTGCAATTCCTCATTAGTATAGTGGTAAGTATCCCCGCCTGTCAAATGGGAGACCAGGAGGCATGTGATCATATACTTGCTGGGTGTGGTGGCACATGCCTTTAATCCCAGCACTTGGGAGGCAGAGGCAGGCAATCTCTGTGAGTTCAAGGCCAGCCTGGTCTACAAAGTGAGTTCCAGGACAGCTGGGGCTACAGGGAGACCCTGTCTCAAAAAGACCAAAAAAAAAAGTAGGAAGGGGCTGGAGAGATGGCTCAAAGGTTAAGAGCACTGACTGCTCTTGCAGAGCAAGATTCTTCAATTTGCAGCACCCACATGGCAGCTAACAACCATTCATAACTCCAGTTCCAGGACATCTGACACCTTCTTCTGACCTCCTCGAGCATTGCATAACATGGGTGTGCTTACATACATGGAGGCAATACACTCATACACATAAATTTAAACAATAAAATATTTAAAAATAAAAACATGTGCATGGTGGTTTACTCCTTTAATCCTGTTGTGCAATGCCTGTGGAGGTCAGAAGAGGCTGTCGGATCCCCTGGGACTGGAGTTACGGACAGTTGTTAGCTGCCAGGTGGGTGCTGGGATTCGAACCCAGGTCTTCTGCAAGAACAACCAGTGTTCTTAACCACTGAGCCATCTCTCCAGCCCCTTGCTTTGATTTTTAAAAGAGAACTCATCTCCTACAAGTTCACTGTGGGACAAGGAGGTGAAATAAGGCTCAAAAGGTCAGATAATCACAAGCTATTACATCATGTATTGCTATCTGCTTAATTAATTCTTAAATATATCAACACATAGAGAGTGATCATTGAAATCCCTCCCATCAACCCATATTCTTACCTGGATGTAAACAATCTTGTTTTATTATGTTTATAATAGACAGCTTTTATGATTTAAAGCTATATGTCATCATATAAAAATCAATCACTTCTAAAATTTGATTCAATTAAGAAGTTAAATAAAAACAATACAGATCAGATATAGGATAAGTACACATGCATTATTGTCAATGTCCACTCATTAACTGTGTTTAATGATTAAGGGATCCCAAAGGCATGTTTTACAACTAATTCACCTTCCAATAGAGATGCCTGGTCTTGTATAGATTGATTTTCTGTAGACAAAATGTAAAAGTCACTTAAATAGTATTAGTGAATGCACTCTAAACTCACAGTCTCATTTTATACCTTTTTCCCCCCACTTAACCCCCAGAAAAATCAAATTAACCTTAAGGAAATCAAGCATACTTTCAAAAATTTTAGTTTATTTATTGATGGGGGTCTCAATATATAGTCCAGGCTATTCACCATGTAACCCAGGCTGACCTCAAACTCCTCCTCCTCCCTTTAGCCTCCCAAATGCTAAAATTACAGGTATGTATCACCACACTTGCTCTAAAACTTACTTTTTAATTAAGTTATGTCTCAGTCCAAGTAGGAAAATAATTAGTTTGGGGGTAAATTCATTTAAGTTGTGTCAGATACAATTAACTCTTTTTAAAAATACTTATTTGAGTCTTTTTGAGATAGGGTCTCCCAGTAGCACCAGCCTGGAACTCGCTATGTAGACCAGGCTGGTCTTGATATCACATGGATG